TTCACTGTGGGAAGCGAGCTGCAGTAGGAATCCGGGAATAAATACAAATAAATAAACTCTCATTGCGAATTGGGGGTAAACATAATACGTGAAAAAAGGTTATCTGCACTCAATAACCCGAACAGTTTCTAATCCTGTTGCCCAGCCCCTCAATACATTTTGCTAATCTAAAAAATGATCAGGTAAATAAAATGGTTAAAACCCCCAGGGATCCTTTCAGCAGCAGCGGCAAAAATCGAGACACATCGCCTCATTGGCACCGCATGCGTTTATTGTATCTGACAGCGTGATGCACACTGCCGCCACACTCTGGGAATACAGCCAGGCCTTTTAAAATTCACCAGCCGGGCCCCTTAATAATGCAATGCGACGCGCTGATGCTTACAGTGGAGAGTTTTGTGCACTTCTTCACTTTACAAGCGACAATCATGCAACATTTAATTTGCGGGAAAGTTGTTTTTATTTAGATTTTAGCCACGTGAGAGGCAAAGGCCCTGGTGCCGCTTGTTACTTTGAACTATTTTCTGCTGCGCGTTTTGTCTGCGCTGCGAATTGCCATCGAAGTATAGGTGTAACTGCGGATGAAGGCAAGCCAAAGAGAAAACACATAAAACGCGTGCAGATACAAAGCCATGCACATACACAGTACCTGCAATATATTGCACCGGAGAGACGAAATCAGCTCGTGTGCAGGGCCTAGGTGGATTGTGGCATTGTAAGACCATGAGACGTGGCAACAGCTTGGGAAGGCGTTCATAATCGTGGATTGATCACGGCTGATCATCATGATGGTGATATTACACCGGCTTTTACATTGTTTTGTGTTCTTCTCTGGTAGTTTAAACCTTCTGTTTGGTTAGAGGCCCAATGTCTCAAATAATTTGGTGTTAAAACGTCCCATGATTTTGTGTGTGGAGCATCTTGACAAGAATTGCAATGCCATCGAATCGTAATGGATTTCTTTTTTTGAGGCAATACACATTCCAGTATGACTCCTCTGATAACAGTTTGCTCGTAACAAACCGTGATGAGAAAAGAAGGGGCGTTGAAAACACCACTTACATCGAGTGTAGTGCTCAAATACCACGTTCAGTACTTACGGCGATTGTAATTTTCTTCACTTTGTTCAGCATGACATTCCATGTTTTTCGAGGACACTGGTAAATGCGGCGTAATTTTAAAATCCAAAGAGTCAATCGGCTCGTCGCAGAGTCTGTTTTAATGACTTCTAAAAATGGCACACAACTGCAATTTCATAATAATTTCCTGAGTCTACCCCTCTGAGAAATAAATGTTTAGGTTAAACACGATTACCGATTTCAATTATGTATCAATTACCACAATAATGAAAATACTCGTTTTGACAGAATTATATAAAATACCTCTCAAAAGGTTATGTCTGCAAATCGTAATTTTCACCCAAATATAGGCAATGAGACACAATTAGTACAATAATTTGTTTAAGTTTTCAGAAAAAAACTAATTACTTGGATAAAACATTTAAAAAAACACATTGTTTGCAAGTGTACAGAGTAGGAGGAAGTGATATCTTAAGTAATGTACAGCTCTGCTAAAAAGAGAGGTACTCCGAGGCAGATCAGGAAGCTGATCATCCCACAGCCCTGGACTATCATTAGGAAAATACTATTGTGATAATCTCACAATTCGAATATATGTGCATATTCTAATATATATGAATATGTGAGAGTTCGAGACGTTACAGTGGTAAGCACATGCCGCTAAGAACTCAACCCAGTTTGACTCCCAGCCACGGCTAACGTCAGTGGCAAGTGATATCGGAACTGTCCGTGCCCCACCTCTGACCATTCACCAATCCACACTGCCCAGCGTTAAGTATTTGCCAAACAATCCGCAAGGTCGAACAAGTTCAGAATCACAATATTTACTTATACCGGAGAAATCCGATAAGCTATACATCTCTTTTTCACAGATGTCCAGTAGGCATGGGGAGGCCTTCATCTAGCAGTGCTCGATAAAGGGCTGTAAATAATTGTTACAATATTGAGGATGTATTATGGGCATAAAGTGCACAGCACTGGTAGCTCCAAGCTCCGGTCATGGCTGCACAAACTCCTCCACGGTTTTTCTGGTGGCAGGTGATGCAGACAATTTCAGGTAAGACCTCGGTCATTACACGACTAATAAATCCCGATACACCATGCAGCCGGAGCCATGCCCGTGACCCTTCGTTGAGTCAGATTAATTACTTCCATGTCAAAAAAGCAATTTGTTGAAATGAATTGAAGTCAGCCCAACTTACAACGAACAGGGACGTTATGGGATTTTAATTACCGACTCGGTGGTTTAAATGTGACAGGATCTTACGCTTTTATTAAACAAACGTAAGCGAAACGTTCCGGCATTCAGCGGCGTTTTATTCATTGTGAAATTATAAAAGCGGCCAAACGTGAGATCAAAAACAAGATTCAGCATTTTAATAGGTGATAAACTGCATTGCGGTAGATTTAATGTACGGCGTATAATACATTTTTTTCCGAGAGATATTGTATCCTGCACGCAGCCGACGGAAAGATAACAGGCAGTGGCTGACGTGAAACATTTCAATGCAGATTCTACATCCATAAAAAAAAGAGCCACTGCGAATGTCACCGATTAGCAAGCGTGCTGCGTGGCAGTCACGTTTCCATGTCGGCCAGAAGCAGAAGCATATGCCCAAATCGGTGTCGCCTTTTGACACGCGTGAGCTCAAGTAAGAAGACAGCGGCGTAATGAGAATAGGATGCCAGTCACGCACTCGCTGTGGCATAGCACGTACGCACGTACGCTGAACTTCTTTCGCACCGTGCGTAGCCAACCGTGCTCATCGGAGGTTACAATGCGAGTGGATTAAGAATTCGCGAGCGGTACGATGAGCGGGAACTTTATGCACCATCAGTCCCCCACACTCGCCTGCTGAGACCCCTCCGCCTCACCGCTATTCAGGTCACGGTTGACAATAACCATATCCCTTGTATGGCAACGATCAATACTAAGTGGCAGAGATGCCAATTCCTAAAAATGTTTGTAACAAACTTAATAACGTATTACAAGTACTCACTCTTTGAGCTATATTCATATAGTGCATATAGACGGCAAAGATACAGTGAGGGAAAAAAAGTATTTGATCCCCTGCTGATTTTGTACGTTTGCCCACTGACAAAGAAATGATCAGGCTATAATTTTAATGGTAGGTTTATTTGAACAGTGAGAGACAGAATAACAAAAAAATCCAGATAAAAGCATGTCAAAAATGTTATAAATTGATTTGCATTTTAATGAGGGAAATAAGTATTTGACCCCTCTGCAAAACATGAATTAGTACTTGGTGGCAAAACCCTTGTTGGCAATCACAGAGGTCAGATGTTTCTTGTAGTTGGCCACCAGGTTTGCACACATCTCAGGAGGGATTGTCACACTCCTCTTTGCAGATCTTCTCCAAGTCATTAAGGTTTCGAGGCTGACGTTTGGCAACTCGAACCTTCAGCTCCCTCCACAGATTTTCTAAGGGATTAAGGTCTGGAGACTGGCTAGGCCACTCCAGGACCTTAATGTGCTTCTTCTTGAGCCACTCCTGTTGCCTTGGCCGTGTGTTTTGGGTCATTGTCATGCTGGAATACCCATCCACGACCCATTTTCAATGCCCTGGCTGAAGGAAGGTTCTCCCCCACGATTTGAAGGTACATGGCCCCGTCCATCGTCCCTTTGATGCGGTGAAGTTGTCCTGTCCCCTTAGCAGAAAAACACCCCCAAAGCATAATGTTTCCACCTCCATGTTTGACGGTGGGGATGGTGTTTTTGGGGTCATAGGCAGCATTCCTCCTCCTCCAAACACGGCGAGTTGAGTTGATGTCAAAGAGGTCCATTTTGGTCTCATCTGACCACAACACTTTCACCCAGTTGTCCTCTGAATCATTCAGATGTTCATTGGCAAACTTCAGACGGGCATGTATATGTGCTTTCTTGAGCAGGGGGACCTTGCAGGCGTTGCAGGATTTCAGTCCTTCACGGCGTAGTGTGTTACCATCTGTTTTCTTGGTGACTATGGTCCCAGCTGCCTTGAGATCATTGTCAAGATCCTCCCGTGTAGTTCTGGGCTGATTCTTCACCGTTCTTATGATCATTGCATTTCCACGAGGTGAGATCTTGCATGGAGCCCCAGGCCGAGGGAGAGTGACAGTTATTTTGTTTCTTCCATTTGCGAATAATCGCACCAACTGTTGTCACCTTCTCACCAAGCTGCTTGGAAATGGTCGTGTAGCCCATTCCAGCCTTGTGTAGGTCTAAATCTTGTCCCTGACATCCTTGGAGAGCTCTTTGGTCTTGGCCATGGTGGAGAGTTTGGAATCTGATTGATTGCTTCTGTGGACAGGTGTCTTTTATACAGGTAACAAGCTGCGATTAGGAGCACTCAGTTTAAGAGTGTGCTCCTAATCTCAGCTCGTTACCTGTATATAAGACACCCGGGAGTCAGAAATCTTTCTGATTGAGAGGGGGTCAAATACTTATTTCCCTCATTAAAATGCAAATCAATTTATAACATTTTTGACAAGCGTTTTTCTGGATTTTTTGTTATTGTCTCTCACTGTTCAAATAAACCTACCATTAAAATTATAGACTGATCATTTCTTTGTCAGTGGGCAAACATACAAAATCAGCAGGGGATCAAATACTTTTTTCCCTCACTCTAGCAGAGAAGTTGTATAAATGAGCATTTAATACATCTCTCAGTACCCCATTTTATTAATGCAAAAGATGGCATGCGAAGGAATTATGCCAACGTTATACCATATTCTTTGGGTCTTTCGGTAAAGTCATGTAGATAGGTTCAAAGAAATAACAAAAACATGAAAAACTACGTTTTGATCGCAACACAAGCAGTCGTCATCTTTACTTTACTGACAGACCCAAAGAATATTAATTCCTGCCGTCACGAAAGCTTTAAGTCAAGATTTAAGGTTATACCACTTGCTGTTGTTTTGATTACTGTGGTCCATAATTATGAATCGCTTCATTCCTTAAATATGCATCCATGAGGATTTTAGTAAGGTACTACAGGGATAGCAGTGAAACCGTGATTAACTATGAAGCCAGAAACCTAATTTCAATGTTGTTGTCTAGAGCTTGTGGCCATTTTAAAAGTGCATTCCGCAATCGTGTAGACAACTCGTCAGCGATTTTTAGGCCTTGCGGGCTCATAAGGGCTACCAGTGGCGAGATATCATCTTCCTTGCCTGGTATGCAGGTCGTGGGTTTGATCCCGGCTCTGACGCCTATATATTTGGAGTTTGCATGTCTCTTTCCCCGTGGCTTTCCCTCCACATTTACAATCAACAGCATGCGTTGTTTTAGATAATTTGGCAGTTATAATTTCCACATGATAAGCCACTTCATTGAGCTATCATTTGTGGCCAGGTCGCTTCTAAAAAAGAAGCTAATAGCTCAGTGGGCTTTACCTGGTAAAATATTTTTTTCATGATTTCCTTACCTTTTCTATACTTTGCACTCCTATCGTGTTTTCATAGTCTGTTGTTGTAACTTTGTAATCCGCCACTACCGGACATCTGTGAAAAAGAGCGTTATAGCTCATTGGATTCCTTCGTTATAAATATATCCTGAATTCCTAGACATGGGTAACATCAATGGTGAGCGATATCTGAACCAGTGCCGAGTCTCGCCTTCACAAACACAAATTGACCACTGTGGTGAAATATGGTCAAACAAACCCCCATGACCTACACAACTGCTAGTAGTCCTTCATCCAGCAGTGGATTGACAAGGTGCTGTAAATTGTCATTATTATACATTGTACCATAATTACTCTAGTGGTCCCATACCAATGTAGAGCTTAGTCACCAATGGTGTTGTGATATCAGCATTCTGGTCACCAAAAGATGGGTTCCAGTTCAAATTCCAGTCAGCTCGAGTACAACCGTGTGATAATTCAACCAGTGGTCATCCTGTGGAGAAACGGGCCTCTGACACTAAGAGATGAGTGCAGCCCCATAACTCATTTGAGCAGGGAGGTGTTTTAAATAGGCACCATTCAAGACCAATTCCTTCTCGTAGTCTCCATTTAACATTACATATATACCGTACACAGGGATTGACAATCTAACTATGAATTGAATAAAAGGCCTTCCATTTCATTTCAGCTTTATTATTTCAGCAATATGAAAAAAGCTATTAGAACGGCAGACATCTGGTGAAGAATTTCGACGTGACAAATTTTTTAAACAAACATCGGCATTGCCCCAAAGGATACAACTTAATTATAATAGCACTCAGCTTCCCGTGTACTGTGCCAACTATCTCCTTGCCTGCCACGACCCAGATAAATGACACGCTGCATTGCAGCCAAGTCCCACAGGCTTGCAGAGAACTCAGACCTCTGGAAATGATCCCTTATGAAATTCAGCCATGACGCTGGAACACAAAAGGTATGCTCGGCAGAATTGATTCACAGGAGTATTTATATCCAAGGGCATGTGAACAAAACTGCAAAATCAACGTTGCCTTCCGAGAACTGACATTTTACCGGTGCACTTCGAACAAAGCTCAGACTGCAAAACATTTAATAAAAATTCTGTTTAGCCTCAATAAAAGAAGTCACTGAGCATGTGTAATCTCTTGACTCCCATGGGCGGCGTAACCCAATAAAAACAGAATTCTAGTTTTGTATTACTCCACTGATGAATACGCTCAAATAACCACAACTCGCTCTTGCTTGCACTTGACACTTTGCATAGCAAAGTTGGTAAATGATCACATTCCTTCAGCCTAACCTTAACACGGACCTAACCGTAACCCTCTTTCGCAACCCCATCATTGGTAAACAAACCTAATTAAAAAAGAGCATATCCTGCACTTGCCTAATCAGTGGCCATCTATTATTACCTTGCTAATTATCCGCAAGGTATTTTTTTTACATCCCGAGGCAATGGTGAAAGGAAGCCAAGAATGTCACATTAATTACCTGTGATAAGAAAAGTATGGAGGCTTTCAACACACCACCCGATTGTAAGAGGGGCACGAAAATAAAATATAATTTGGATTTGAAAAGCGCTAACAGGTGACGAACGCATCTCAACAAGGGAACGCACGTTTGTGTTTATTCCTCCCTACGTGTCGAACATTTTGAGATTTTTTGCTTGAAAATTTTCCCAGAATTCTGGTTCTTCAAGGGACAAGGGGGCAGCCGTCGACATGAGGTCTTGGAAGGTGAGCGAGACGAACGGCCGCACGCACGGTGATTCATCGCTACGCCTGTGACCTTTGGATGTCTGTGTTTCCCAAAAGACAAATGAAACACGGTAATTAAAATAGGTATTTAAAAACACTGCTGTACATTCAATGGGATGTTTAATACGGTAATGCCGTTAACACCTTTCCACATTTAGTAGCATTTAACATTTCTGGATTTCACATTGCATTCTCCCAAACTCAGAGTATCACAACAAAATAAAATAAATTGCTTAAAATACTTTGCATACTCAGCTTGTATCCAAATTGTAGACACGTTGCAATAATAAATGAGTTCATATTCTGCGTCCTTTGTTAATCCACTGCTGGATGAAGGCCATCTCATGCAGTGTTTGTTGTGGGGCTTGTTTGAACAACTTCACCACGCTGGGCAGGGGGGGGGTTCTTAGGACTGGATTTCACTCACAATTGATGTCAGCCATGGCCGGGAATCAAACTCAGATTAATGGGTGCACAGTGCAGTGCATTAACCACTGTCCGCCCCATGTCACCATAACCTAAAAATACCTTACATACCCAAAAAAACAGAATTCTCTACTCTATTTTTATTCCATGGCTGACATGATTTACATATACACGTTGTTTTGATCTAACTTTTATATTGAAAATGTATAATTGTGCATGACCCTATGTCAGCTGCACTATATCACAAACGAGACAATGCACCATAACCCTATATATCACAGGCAATGAATAAAGACAGCCAAAGGAAGGAATGTGCCTGATTTCATCACTCAATCACCGCAGAGATTGAATGACAAAATCAGCTCACGTGCAGATGCCATAAGGATTGCTGCATTACTGGACTATCAGATTAGGGTCCAGCAGTGGTTTAATCATAGCTTATGATGAGAATGAAATACTTAAAGTGAAGATACTAATCATAAAGACAGTAAATATATATTAGACCATGGCACTGTTAGTTCAATCGCAGCAGTTTGTTTAAAAGAAACATAGCATAGCTCTCTGGTGTGTTTTTGGTTTGTACCGGGCATTGTTGGGCGTGATCATTTCACATTTCGCTCCACACACTTGGAGCTTCTTCAGCAACTGAGCTGATTCAGCAACTGAGTTGATCGTGCCAAAACAACACGCAATGCAACCCTAAAAGCTATGTTGTCAAAAAATATATTTTTTTTTAAATCGTGACTAACCTACGAAGAAAGTGTTGGCTGTTGTTTACGTATTTATCTACAAATTGTATCTTCGGCAGCCACAATGCAAATCGTCAGAGGGAGCCGGGGTCACGGCGCTTAATCCCGTTAGGGCGGCCCAAGCCTAAATGCGTGGCCCCAGGCGACCTTACGCTGTGACGCACCCCCCCCCCCCCCCCCCGTGGGGGAGCTTTGTGCCGTACGTGACCGCCACGGAACAAAGGAAATTCCCCACAGTCGATTCACGCAATTAAGGAACGTCATCCTGGAGGTGGTTCAGAGGTCGGAGTGCTGAGCAGGCACTGCTAAGATCCAGGGTTCAAATTCATTTGTAAAAAAAAAATATATCCCCAAACATATACAATTATTATTTTTCACTTGTTTTGAAAATCAGCTCGTTTTGAGGTATTTGGTGGATTACTATGAAATGAATGGCAGGATCATGACAGATGGTGACAGCTTGGGAATGCCTTCATTTAGCAGTGGACTGACCATGGCCTAATGATGAATACCAGCTGAGGAAGAAGAAATATTGGTTTGAACATCGTGCAATGATCATTTCTCTCTGGAGCAGGACAGGCGAGAAAGTGCAGTGCCCTCTCGTGTGGATACAAGGTTACTTAAAAATATCTCGGAAGCAGTTCTACGCTATCTCCTTCCACGGACCATTCTCGACTATGGTGTTGATTGCATGCTTTGTGCGAGTTAAATTTTTATTTTGTGTGTGTCATGATATTACATCAATAGCAGAATCAGACTGAATTGGGGGGAACATAGCCCAAAAAAACATTAAACATCATTCACACCTGGCACACGGCTGAGTGTCGATCCACAGCCACAGCTACAAAGTGGGATTCATCCAGCATCGTCTCCTGCAAGACAACCACTTCGTAATTAGAACGTGACGTCTTTTAAAAACTCATCAAGTGAAAACCCACATGTGAAAATCCACGTGTAAATGGATGACACTCAGTTCCACACAGATAAATTAAATAATCCATTGCTGTTCTGCAATCTGCGACTCGACACCATCTTCAAAACTATTACTATTTAGCCGGGCAGTGGTTGGGCACTCCTATAATTCTGCACTGTGGAGGTGAAAGTTGGTGGGTTGGAAAAATGTTACAAAAACTCCCTTTCCGTGGGCGCCACACCTTGGCTAGCTGGCATAGAGCGATACAGCCAAATACAGACGAATATTACGTAGTCCCTCTCCTTAACCTCCTTCCCCGTTCCTCTCTTCAAGCTCACCTCTTATCCATTGCCCATTATCTTCCTCTTCTCTCCCACCGCCCCTCCATTTCTTCCCTCCCCGCTTTCCTAACCCCTACTTACTCAATCGTGGTCACTCATTCATAATCCCTTGCACGTGCCTGCCATCTCAATCAATTATTTCTGATATCATTTTTTAAATGTTAATTGCCTTGATCAAAGGCGCTCAATAAATGTAAACTAAGATATCACCTGTCCCTTCTGTATGGGAAAGAGTGTCTCATCCTCCCACACTGGAGTTTTCTCCAGGCACTCTGGTTTCCTCCTACATGTATAAACACTCATTCGTTGGTTGAAAGCATCTTAATATATATAGGACTGCACAGTTTGGGCAATAGTTGATGCTGGCTCACCACCTGGCTGCTGCCTTCTCACTTGTCTGTGGTTCCTCGTCGATTTTGCATAAACTATGCTATGTAAAAGTAAACATTATTATTACAATGTAGTGTTTAATTCAGAGTGCGGTCAGGTATCTGACTGCAACCGATCTCCAAAATAGGCCCTGTCTGCTTAAGACTTGATAGAAGGCAGCTCAATGAAGCCAATCAACATGGTTTACAAACGGGCCCTGTTTTTTTAAATTATTAATGCATGCTACGTTGCCCATAGTGGCTAGATTAGCTAGCAGAGTGCTCCGTGTCAATGAGGCTGGTTATATTCAGGAACAGGAGGATTTGGAGTTAATGACAAATCCCAGAGGAAATCATTCCGATGGCCAAGCTTACAGAGTTCTATGGGAGAGGATCTCTGAGCAAGACCAATTTTTATTTGAGGATTACACAGCACAAGACAGCTTTTCAGCCAGAGATTACAAGGGGTGTAAACTAAGCCGGGCATAGCAAAGATAAAATGTAAGCCTCCCTTACAGTGCTTAAAGAGAAACAATCAACTCACACTTTTGCTTACAATCTAAACTTATTAAAGATCAAGAAATAAATATTGTGCTGATTTTCATGGTAGAGGCAGGAGAGAACACAGGACTAGAGTCACGAATTCCAATGCACCTAAAACCAATTATCATCATGCCAATTATTTAGCTGTGAAAGCCTCACCGAGTCTCACTCAGAATTGTATTCGGGAGGGTTCTACATTGGGGTGTTTGGCCAATTTCACCCATGAGAGTTTGGCTTTGTGTGGGAGGACACCAGAGAACTAGAGAAAACCCTCCACACATGAGGGGGTGACACTTAACGCTGCCATCTCCTGGTCGCCTCGCAGCCCCACGCGTGCAAAATCTGGCACACACCGGTAAGTTAAACCACGCAAGAACTAATTAGGTTCTGAGATCTGGCGAGATTGGGCGCATGTTTGAAAGGCCAATCTAACATGTTTCAACCTGTAATGGGTTGGGGGGCAATGATCCCCATAAACCGTGAACATTTCTTCACATATCTGCTGTGGATTCTTCCCCTGCAAATGCGGGAACTTGACCGCTGCGAATTTGGTTGTAGGTACCTGAAAGAGCCACCCGGTGTCCTCAGCACCGTCAACGAAGAGCCTGGTGTCCTGCGTCACGGCCGACATGTCGACACGCGGCGATCCCAGTCGAAACTCTATCCGCTGCAGGTTCAAGCCGAGTCCAACACCGACACCCTTCACGTAGCTCTCCTTCAGACACTGCACGGGGGATCACAGGCGCAGGCAAGGAAGTAACCGTTGTGAATGAAGCGACATGAGTCACGGCACATTGTTTTGTGGGAGATGCGTCCAAAGCTACTTTCAATTCACGGTGTCTGACAGCGCTGCACCATAATTCACAAAAGTGCCAGGCTAACCTGTCAGAAATCCAGACCCTGGACAAATAGATCGCGTTGCAGGTATTCTGAATGGCTCGGCACAGATTTGAAATATTTCTATCAGCTTTATCATTAAATCACACCGAGCATAGGCAGCTTGGAAATTATATTATATCTTAACAGATTAACTCACCATAAGTGATGTGTGTAAATGTCTGAAAGGTCAAACGAACACGTTTTGAGTCAACGGAAGTTTTTTTTAATACATATTTGTCTCTTTGTGGCAGCTGTGGCATTGATGCCACTTAACATCAACTGGAAGCCTGCTTGTGCTTTCTTTGGCTTTTGCAGTCTCGTCTGGATTTTCTGGGTCATGAGTGACATCATCCGTATAGCTGATAAGAGGCATTGTGCCAGCATCGCAGCAAGTCACAACTACTGTCACCATGAATTGAAACACATTACTTGCGTGAAATCTTATTCATCGATTACACTTGGTGTGTCTGAATCACAATACTTGCACACCTACCAATTTAAAGACTACTCGCAAAACAGGCTTTTTTAATTCAAAGTAATGAGCTCAACAGCTCATAAATTATATTCATATACTTAGCTCTTTCGGTAAAGTCACGTTGAAGGGAAACAATAAAATAATAAAATATATATAAAACAATAAAAATTCTCACGACGTTTCGACCATAACACAAACAGTCGTCATCAGGTATTCCGGTTTGCATAAATTTATTTATTTATAAACGGTGTATTTATTTATTTATAAAAAAACGTCAGCGCCACGCGCAGCGATTTGGCAGTTTATTTAGAAGGACTAGTCTATCTATGTTCCGAAAAGAGGAGGGGGGAGACGAAAAATTAATGTATGCTGTCTGAAAGCCACTGTAAGCGTGAACAATCAATTAAGACCTGAAATGGTTTATCAAATCTTTCCAATGATTGCTAAGCCAGAATCCATCTTCTCGGTTGAAATTGTCTCTTTGCTTGTATATGTGGATAGCCTCATGAACGAATCTCTCATGGTAGCCAGATGGCTTACAAAGAACCTCTGTCTTGGAAAAGTCAATGTCATGTGAGCCTACTGAATTATAACAATGATCTGCCACGGCAGAGGTGTTGGTCCTACCGTGTTTAAGGTCTGCTCATAAATTATTACTGTATTGTCACAATGGAGCATTCAATCCTGCCATCCAGTGGGGTCTTTATCTTCACGAGGTGATGCTTTATGAGTGTGCTGCATTGAACTGCATTGTTTGAACAATAAGAGGCATAGCCATCGAGAAGTTGTGAATTCACTGTTGAAGGGGTTTTAGGGTGAACATTGAAAAATTCTACATATCGATAATCTGTCAAATAGAACTGTGACCATGCTGTGAATTGCACAAGCAACGAATTAATAAACGCCAAGAAATAAAACGTTAACGATCTACACACATACATGGCATGCTTAGAAGACAATTCATACAACATGTAAGTTGATACAATATAGGCTGAGGAATTAAATATCCTAACGTATTTTTGCACACACCAGTCAAAAGGCATTTTGGTTTCCAGCACAAACGAACACGAGAAGGCACAGTCTGAAGATAGTCTCGTAGTGGCCATAAGCTAACTACCTCGCCTGGTACACATGAGATCGTGGGTACGATCCCAAACCTGACGCCTGTATATTTGGAGTTTGCATGTGGTTGTGTGGATTTTTTCTCCGAGTCCTTAGGATTTTACCTCCACATTTCTAAACATGTGTTAAGAGTATTTGGCTGCTATACATTTCCACATGATAAGCCACTTCGTTGAGCTATCATTTGTGGCCAGGTCGCTTCTGAAAAAGAGCTATATAGCTCAATAGGCCTTACCTGATATAACAAACATAGTTTAGTTTACTCCACATATCTATGGCAAGGGTGAGCATATCCATAGTAGAACTACTGTTTGCATATAAGTTATTATCCAACTTAAAACAAAGGACATGCGCTATACATGTGCTTATGGTGTACATTTCATATGTAACGACGATTATCCCTCCACTTCCCGATTGTGAATATTCACAATCTAGGGCCACAATTCTACTCAAGAATCGATGGCTCTAAGTCTCATTTGTAAAGTTTTGTTAATGTTTTTCATTAGTTCTGTCCCATTCACTCCATTACCCTTAACGTAACACTGCCATGTCATTTGCATATTGTACATAATTGATTCAAACACGCATGATTAAACACGTGTATCGTGAGCGTGCCAATCGATTTTACTTAATGAAATGATTAATCGTTCCGTGCCTGGTGTACATACAAATGAAACAATCTTTGTTTTGCCACTGGTTATATATGTGTTTGGACTCAATCCCCTCTATCAAATGAAGATTGGAACATTTGGAGTCAGCATTCACTTCTGCTGGGTGCTCTGAATAACAAACACGCCGGGCTTGTGCGCCGTACATACAGATGTAACAGCAAAACGTTAGAAACCCTGAAGTCTCCTCTGGGGAAAGTTTACGGCCCGTGCCCAATCAATAAAGCTCAATAAACGGCCAGCTCGAGGCACAGCGGTTATTAACAGCTGCCCTGCTTAGCACAGGGTGACAATGCTTCTCTCGCCGTCTATATACGTATGTTGAATTTCTTTCACACCATACGTAGCCAACCGTGCTAATCAGAGGCGTGTGGGAAGGACAACAAACGAAACACAAAGCAGTTTTAAAGAAATTAGTTTTCAATCTAGATTTAATAGTGCATAGCTCCAAGTAATCCATTGTTAGAAGCAACTGTTTCACACACTTAATTATGACCTACAATTTAAAAGCCATTTAGCATTATTTTTTTATTTTGTAGATTTAAATACACTCTTTCAATTTGTGCACTGTTACCACAAGTATGCTTGAAGAATGTCTGGTCTTTGTTTATGAGCAGAAATTACTTGTAAACATAAATGTTGCTCAGAACATTTTTATAAATAACACATAATTTAGTCCCTTTGGCAATAGAGCACAGTATTCGTCAATGGCCCCCCTACACCGCATCGGTCATGTGGACTTTTTGACCGGACTTCATGCCGAAACAGCGCAGGTTTGTGAAGAAAGGTTCAGGACCAGTTCAGAATCACCGGCCACTCCCATTCGTTATTTCCAGGAATCAAACTCCGGTTGGCAGGTTCACAGTGCAGCGCACTCATCACTGTGCCACTGTTCCGCCCCATTAAATAATTAAAGGAGCAGCTAAATACACAATTCATGACATTTTATTCTGCTGTGCATGCTTAAGACATTCGTAATGCCTGCCTTTTTGGATTCGTGACACTAAGGCAATGTCCACATCTTTACATTAAGGCATGTGTCTGCGTTATCCCTGCCTGCATTTTTCCTCATCTATCCACATCTGTTTTTGTCTACAAAAGACAAACAGAACTTTAAGAAGGTATTAAACGTAATAATACCCTTAAACAATGGGACATGTAGTCCTGCTTAGATCTCAACTACAAACATGCTTTCTCACTGCAAAGACTAAGTCTAAGTCATTGCAAGAAGTCTTAGTCCTTACAGGGACTAGTAACAGGACTCCAGAGTTGCCAAAATGTAGAAACACAAACCACAGCAAAAATGACTTTGCAAATATGCAAATATATATGTTGCCCTGACAGCTATCCATTGGATTCCATGCTGCGAATTAAACAGTTTTGTTGACAAACGCATGTTGGAAAGCATCAGATAATTAATGGACAAGCATGATTTGTCCTAGCTTGTTTGCCTGATCTGGCTCTGCATCCGTCCATACCCAGTGTCTGTAGAAGAGCCCAAGCTTCTCCCAGTCACTGCCTCCGCTGCGGATGGTTCTCCACTCAAGTGGCGTGAACTGCCGGCTCATCAGTCTGAAAAACTCCTCCGTGGTCTGCCGACCTTGGGAAAGAAATGGGCGTGTGATGAGTAAGCGGTGTAGTGAAATAACAAAAAAAGGGGTTTTGGAATGCAAGGGACAGTCAGGACAGAGTGGCGTTAGAGGGGCGGTAGGTGAAAAGAGGATGTCATTTTCATTTGAATGTACGGATTTGTGCGCCTGTCGCAATTACTGGGATGGATTTCACGAAGCCGTCTCCGCTAAGACAGGAATGGACACAAGCGGAGCTGGCATAGTGCCGCCCTTTTCTCTGCAAAATATGGATGGGGTCGCATACAAATTGAGTATTTACATCATAATCAGAAGCGTAACTGAACTTGCAAGAGGGCCAGAAATAACTGCGTAAGATTTCGCTGACAGGTACAGTCAATAATATTACCATTACGAAAGGTGATTTGGTCAAATTCATCCATTACAGTATAAAACTGAGCAGCAGATGTACTTTCTGATAGCTGCATATATTGTCAATCGGAGGAAAGAAAGACCTTAAAATACCAAAATTTTTATATTTTTCCTTTAAATTTGTGTTCTTAATTATCTTATAACAATAACTCAGTCAGATAAAAAGACAGACATCAACATACATCGCAAACCAAAAAACGTGCTCCAGCATTTAAATTACAACGCATCAACTGTAACCACAACATATTGATATAATTATATTTTTACGCTTGGATTTGACATCAAAAGTGAATCTGCCCAAAATCTAACAAAAATACTGCCTGTACACAAAGCCCCATTATTGCGCTTGCAATCGTTTTCAAAGAGACATGGAGTCATGAGCACCGACTGCGGCTCTCATTGGGGTCTCACTACATTTATTAGGGGTGTAACGATTCACCGTTGTGGCAATTCGGCGAATTTTCCTCGATTTGGGGCTGTGATTTCCTTCAAGAATATACCACATTCTTTATTTCAACACCGTGGTGAATGTAGCAGCTTCTGGCAGATGCAGGGGTCATGTGAACCCATTACATACAACATAAACAAATCTAAAAACATCTTTCTAAACATGCGATTCGATGCACGTATGAAGGCATGCACCCCATTGACCAAATCACCACAAATGTAATCGATCTCGTCAGATCTTAAGAGGCTAAGCAGGTTTGAGCCTGGATATTGCTTGGTTGACCACAATATGTGTTGGATTGGTATAGGCGGGTATGGTGCGACTTTGTCATTAATGCAGTGCAGCAAAATGCATTGTTGTATTGTACTCCCTACGTTCCATGTCTATGCTGCTCCTACTTCACCAACACGCACTGACCAGCGTGGTGAAGTATGGTAAACCCCCCAAGACTCACAAAGCGTGGGGCTGCCCTCGTCCACAAATGGAATGACAAAACAATCATATAAACCGTGAGCTTAAGAATCCATATCAATTGATGAATCAAAGGATCGTTACGCCCCAAATGTTTAACATGATAGGGTAATACAGAGGTACGGGAGATGCATGCAGGTGGCTGCATTAACCCAGGTTGCCCTTGCAACAGAGGCAATGTTTCATGCATGTCTCAACGGGTCATATTTAATCTCCTGGTTAAATAATGAGTGCAACAACATCAGCAGCGTTGAAGTGGCGTCATCGTGGCTGTGCTTGGATGCACATGTCGCTTGCGCAATTTGGTGTGTACGCTCTTGCCGACGCGGCATCTCTTTGAAAGCGACAAACAGAAATGTCAACGAATCGCACGGGCCACGTGCTCCAAGGAAATTGCAGGAGCAGACATATATTCCCTCTCGTGACACTAATATCCATCTGTCTACCCATCGGCACAACTGTCTTTAAGGAGCTGCAAAAAAAATGTTGTACAAGTCATAGATTGTCGACCTTAAATTTAACAAAAATGGCAATCTATTCATGACCACATTCAATGTATACATTCAAATGTATACTTTTTATGCTTTTCACATGTTTACAGCTTTAGTTGTGCCCTTGTTTGGTTTTAAGTCCGGACTCAAAACATGGTCCTTTCTTAAGTAATTTTCTAAATGCGCATGGGTTATGAGAATAGGATGTGGTAAATTTGTTAAACGCTGAATTATTATTTTGAGTGTGATATCCTAATGTGTAACATATATACCTTTTGGAATGCTGCTGATAAGAGGATGTGTGTGTGGTAAATGGTTGAATGCTGCACGGTTACTATTTGAGTGTGAAGATGATGCATGATGTATGGGCATATTGTAAGGCTTGTAGGAACAGGACGTGCAGATATTAATCATGAAAGCTGCATGATAAATATTAAGTGCGGTTGTGATGGCTTATGATTCGTACGTTTATTGTAAGGTGCTTTGTATTGATTTTTGGGTTAAAAGGCATTTAACAAGTGTGATTTATTATCATCATAGATGTGACAAACATTTAAACTCAGCCAACACAGCATAGTATATGAACCAGATGTTGGCCCGTTATTCCACATTTTGTTCCCTGGATCATGGCATTACCGAAATTGTGCCAAATTTGATCAAAGATCCACTACCTTTTTTAATATTATGAGCACATGACACTTTCAGCAAACTAAAAATAGAAACACATCCAACTGTGTTCTTGGACTGGTCCTAATAGCTGTTGTTTTGTAACTAATGCTACGTGCCTCATGCATTTAAATTGGCACGTAAATGCGAAGCCAACGCTATATTCCTGATGCTTTCATGAAGATAGATGCCAAAAAAACACAGCATGCCTGGTTGTTCAATTATGGATGCATGGTCATGCATCAGCTTAATTACCTCCAGCGTCTGAGATGATCCAAAGGCAAGCCCTTCATTCATTCATTATTAAAAGTATAACACGCAGAAATTTTACTTAAAAGGACATTCAAAGGCGCGTGAGAATAAAGGAGAAAGGTATTCAGATTCTGACAAGAGATCGACTCCAATGCCTGATGTGCAGAAGAGTTGAGTGAAGGAGTGAATCCCAGCTGACTGGAGCCACGACGGAGAAGCGGAGTTCACCTCTTGTCTGCTCAGAGACACTCGGGACTTGACAATGAGCATGCTTGAGGCAGTTCAGCGGTTGCGAGATGGGACGTACGATGAGACGGCGGAAGATAAATTTGCCGATTGACCCAGAATGTGTGTGCTTCGTAATATAGTACGGTGACTTTGTACAGGATGCGGTGCTGAACTGGAAGCCAGTGAAGTTAATTTAGATGCTCTGAGGAATGGATGAAGGGATTGCGTCTCGTGCCGAGCACTGCGTGGTCAAGGCAGCCTTGAATGAGCCGGAGACGTCTGGGATTTTTTGTAGACATGCTGGAGAAGAGTGCATTGCAGTGGTGTCCAGTCTAATATTCGACAATAGAGCAGGCAATGGTGTTTGCCAACAGTGTTCAGGAAAGGACGAATTGCCCAGTGAGATAGTAATTGGAAATGCAGACAATCTATGAAAAATAAAAGTCGAACCTCAGATTCCAATCGAATAGGAGACCAAGAATCTTAATTTGGGTGGTTGTTGTGTTTGAGACATCCAGCTATTTACAGATCAGGGGTAGAGCGCATGAGGAAAGTTAACTGCCTATGGTCATGGCCTCAGATATGTATGGATCGAATAGACCATTTTCCCAGAACCAACGTTGGAGAGACAGCAGTCAGTAAGACCAGGAAAAAACGGACGGCGATGGTGAATGGTAAGTATTATGAAGTTTAACATCAGCATAGTTGTGATAGCCAATGCCATGATTCTCGATGAGGCGACCAATTGGGGAGATGAAAATGGTGAACAGGATGGCTCTGAGAACAGAATCCTGGGGAACCGCTAGAAGACAATTTACTGGTAGTGAGGAGAACTCCGCAGTCGAATAGGACCGAATCCAGTCAAGGGTTATTCTGGAAACACCAAAGTCATGATCAAGGCATTCGCACAAAATACTGTGACTTATAGTCAAAGAATGGCGAGCACAGCAGCAGATCCATGGTCAACGATAGCCAAGATATCGTAAGTTGCCTTGACCAAAGCCATTTCAGTTGAGTGAGCTGGTCGATAAGCCGATTGCAGACCACGGAAGTTGGGAGACCTGGAGGATATCAGTTTTGAGTTCAAAACAAGCCTTCCAAGGAGGATCTTAGATGTGGAGATATTTGAATATTCATATTAAAGGTTTTTGGGTTAGATCGCGTTATTTATAAATGTCTCGATCGTTATTAAAAACTAGGGGATAAAGACCAGTTTTATTTATGAGCGGAGCGACTTGTCCATGCTTCATAATACTAGGGAAATAGCCAGAATTAAAAGATGAATTGGTGAGGTGGGCATGGAGTTCCTTAAATAACATTTTCAGTAAAGCACTTCGGGCGACTTTTATTTTTTAAAACCAACATACAGTAGTCGCTCATTGCACTCTCAGATTCAAACATACTTATATATGTATACAGAGATGATCATGTAATTTTCTTTGATCAGCGACCTCGCCTTCCTGAGTCAGGGGCCTTAGAAAGATTCTGATTGGTCAGGGTGGTAAATAAATTGAGGCTGGTGAAACCAGAAGTGATTGCCAATGGGCTCCAGATGATGGGATCAAGGCCTTGAACTGGATCCTGAAACATGTTTATAAGCTGCATTCAGAAGCTCTCCAACCCTTCTGAAACTGGTAACATGCACATTACCCCTAATAGGAGACTTTTTATGATATACCGGATTAATAAGCTGCAAGTATCTCCATTAAGGCAGGTAAAAATCACTACAGAATTTCTAATTTACGCAAATTGCATGCAAATTATCTAAAATGTAATTTTAACGTTTAGGCTAATGAAACGAATTAGACGGAACAAGACAGAACGCATCAGGCAGACAAGACAGAGGACACAGTACAGGTGAGACAAAAAATATATCATTCTTAAATCTACTCATGATTCCCAAATCAGGGCAATTGAATCATGTAAATAGTCTGTACGAGACCATAAGACAAGTTGGTGGACATGCCACGGTGCATGGAATCGAGAAGCATCGGTCCAGAACTTTATCACCCCATTAACTCCTTCCATGCTGGGACGACATGCTGCAAGACGAGCAGGTTCAAACAATTCACCCCGCCAAAAGCAATCCATAAATCAACTTATTTCAGGGTTCCCATCTTGCTGCAGAGTATATATTGAGTGTATGATAAGTCATTTCAAACACGAAAGGGCTCCTGACAAATGCCAACTGCCAGATTACACCGCTGAACGTGGCAGGGGGCAGCAGACGGATTAACCTGAAATGATGCCGACTTTCAACTGTGCCGCGGCGACCGCTGTTACCTCCCTCATTCCTACACAAATATCGGCGTCTCCAGCCGAGCTTCCATAGCACCTGGCCAAACTACGGGTTTAAAGTTTCATTGGAAGCATAGACGGAAATGTAATTAACCTAATAAACAGTGCATAAGCAATATATTGAGAGATAGGAATTATAGTTTGTGAGATCCCAGTTGGGTATGTACTTACTAAAATACAGTGTACATGTGCATACGTGCTGGATGTGACCGCATGTCAAGCCAATGCACAGAAACAGTGGCGATACGTATTTATAGAGCGAGGCAGTCAACCATGGCCAGATAAAAGAGGAAGATCTTGAGCCTGGACTTAAACAGGGGCAGAGAGTCGACAGCAGTGTTATATACTTCCAAAGTTTTCGAGCACTGTCGAACCACACGGCAAATTAGAATACGATTAGCTCGAGGCTAACCTGGTGTTCCGAATCTTTCGTGAAAATCTGGATTTTGTCCCAGTTTAACATTTTTTAGCCTTGTGCTCTACTCACAAGTGGGCGGGCTTGGCAGAGTAGGCAGGGAAGGAGTGAAGAGGCTGCTCAAGGTTTGGGCATGGCTAGTGAAAAGTGGGCATGCCGAACAAGGCCTCCCAAAAATACGGTCTCCTTACATTTGCCATTCATGTAACCATTTCAACGGCATTGGGGGATATTATCTCAACAAGAAGAAATTTACTGAAAATTGCACCCAAGGCCAATTCATTTACTAAGCACCGTATTCCAAACACCTGTGTTTTCCATTTATGGTATGCAAGACATCTACAGCCTTTTTGTTAGTTCACTGTTGGGCGAGGGCCTCCCTGTGCCTTGCAGGACTTGGGGGTTATCTGACCCTATTTCACCGTTCTGGTCCGAGCAGGTTATTGAAGGGGGGTGAATAGACGTGGGTACAGAGTACACAACAATAATAGATTTTGCTGCATTGCTCTCTGCTGCCTGCACTGTAGACCTGAAGGAGCCTATAACACCTGTTTTGTGCATAGTCCTCAGCCATACAAGCACTATGCTGGCTAAAGCCTGCTTAGCTTTCGAGATCTCATGAGATCAGGTGCAATCCAGGTGATTTGGCAGAGGAAGACATACACCTATTTATATAAACAGATCAACACATAGCAATGTGAACTCATTAACTTCAGAATACCTATCACTTTCTGCTCTGCTGAATTCCTAACACATTTGTTGAATGCACAGCGGCAGCTAACAACCATTAATGGTAATGTGAATTTTCCCAAGGTAAGCCTTTGCTTGCATTTAAATTAAGAGATAGGAGGAGCAGCACATGAGTTAGATAACATATACAAGTTAAATCATGAGACCTCCTGTGCCAGTACTAAAATATGAGAATAGGTTTCCCCTTTTTTCTGGCAACAAAACAGGTGTGAAGATATTAAAACACCAAACTGACACCGTTTACAAGGAATCATGTCTGCATTAACCACAATACTTGTGGTCAGAATGCAAACAAAAATAAACACACTCTGAAAAGAAATGCATTGTCTTTGAAACTGATTGGTCCACACCAGAGACAGCCTTCTTTTGAGCCTAGTCTCAAAACGGAGGCGTCCTCTGGTCTAACACCGTGCATAGTCCTCACTAGATATTAACAACGGAGTTGCAGCCTAAAGGACATACTCGGCACAATAGAAGTCCATTGCATAGATGGAGTGATGAAATTGGCTCGTGAGCAAGATGGATTTTAGCAAAACAAAACCAGGAGAGACGGCAACAGCTTAAGGAGTCATTCATCCAGCACTGGATAGATCATGGCTGATGAAGATTAATGTTTTTGCACTATAATCTCAACATACAAGCTAGCGCAACCTTTGTTATGGGAATGGCAGAGTAATCCATCACAGCTGTTAAAAGTTTGCGTTGCTTTCAGAGACAGCATTACAGCCGGCCTGCTGTGAATTAAAATGTTACCCATGTGGGTGTAATGCATTTGTTGCAACACACTGAGGGTATGGTGTGCGTTTATACAGCCTGGTCAGAAATGCCATTTTCAAACCAAACTGCCCAAATACATGTAGTAAAAAGTTAAACTAACATTTCCCCTAAAGCCCTAGTTGTACATGTTTGTACATCTTGGCAATGCAATATACACGCGAATATCCATCAAAAGTGCCTGTGTGAGGTCCACCTACCACACATGAGGTGCTGTGCTCAGGTCCATCTCAGGCAGGTATAGAGGACATGTGATGTAAAAATCTCTTTTTAAGATTGCCACGACATTACTACACCATGATATATTGTACACAACAAGGTCCATGATAACAGTAATGACCGTTTATCATTGCTCATTTTATTTCCTCATCTTATTTTCTGACAAGAAATGAGTGAAATAGCAAACCCAATTATATCACCCATTAAACATGCTTGTTGTTTTCCTGCATTACAAGTTAAAATAAGCCGATTGTAATAGTTAATTTATGTTTATTTATCTCAAATAACTGACAGCATGTGAATTAAAGTTACAAAGAATAAGAGGATTATAGCAGGTTTATGTTCAGTGAACTAGTTTAAGAAATGTAGTTTTCACACCTGATGATGATTGCGTGTGTTGCAGTCGAAACGTCGTGAGAATTTTATTGTTTTATATTTTTATTATTTTATTGTTTCCCTTCTACGTGACCTTACCGAAGGAACCAAGAATATGAATCCCTGCAGTCACGAAAGCTTTAAATCAAAAGTATATTGTTTTATTCATGTTGAAAGTACATGTACATCAAAGCACAAAACATAATTAAAAAACAAGTCATACAATTACAAACCTATGGGAAAAATCGTCATATTGCGAAATTTGATATCGTATCATCAACTATAACATCACCTCTCAGCTGATGTTTCATGATGTCCACCCCAATGGTATGTCCAAGCTCTGCAGCCAGCACAGTGAAGTCCCCTTGATGGGAGACGTTAAAGCCCAGGGATTCAACCGAGTCCAGGCCACGCTCCGTGACGTTTTCAGAGTCGAAAACAGGGTGAGGGTCAGAGGTTAGCAGCACGGGTTTTCCCTGGGCGGTACGGCCCAAGTGAACGCGCTCCCATGGCAGACCCAACACCTCCACGATCGCCTTCCGCAGAAGTAAACGGCCAGCCTGGAATCAAGAGGTCACTCTTAAAACAGTTGCAAATACTGTTAAGAAACTTTTAAAGAGACAATCATGAGTGTTAAGAGCCCTTTGTCTATCCACTGCTGGATGATGGCTGTGCCGATAATGGAGAATGTTTGACTATAGCTGGTGGAGGAGGGACCCAGGACACACAGCTGCAGCTTCCAAGGCTCTAATTTCTGATAAAGGGTGGTGCACAGCTCACTGACAGCTCAAAATATCATTGAGTCTCAGGACATGATGCTAATGGCCCATCAACCGGAAATGGAGAAAAACAATTGAAAGTGGGTGTGTGGGGAGAAAGTAACATTTGAAAGCAATGGAATTCGGTTGAGGAGCCCTCTCTTTTATTGATTTTTACACAATATTAAACATCTGTGCAAATACGCAAACAAAGCCGTCTTCCCCAATGAAGTCTGTCCCTTACGGGGCGGTGAAAATATCCACGACGCACCATTGCCGCTTTGGCATCCTCGACGAAGACGAATTCGGAGACGCGCTGCCTCTCCTCTGCCTGAATGCAGCGAGTGGCCAGGAGCCAGTCGGAGCGTGTGGGCTGCCAGTTCGCCGTGCGAAACGCCCAGCGCACTCCACCCACTCCACACATGACACTGCAGCCAGAGAGAAAAAATCATTAGAAACGACAACGCTGGGCCCCACACATTCTTTGGGAGCCCGAGGCAAAATGAGGCCCCTTGGGCCATTTCTGAGGTCCCTTTGGATCTGAGGCTTTGGACAAATTACCCCCAAATTACCCCCCATACCATCTCTATAACCATGCTTGAGAGCTACCGACAATTCAATATTTTATATTGTGAATTGAAACCCATTTCACTCCTTTTGCAGATCAGTGACATGTTACATTAAGTGGGTTGTGATTCAAAAGGTCTTTCGGCTTTGTTCTGCAACTGCAAAATGGAGGTAATACAAAACATATCTATACATATGCACAAGTCCCAATATAATTGATTCGTACATGCACAATTCCATGCATGTATTGAGCCTAACCCCTAAATTTGTATCAATTAGTCCAGCGTTACATGTATATGTACGCCTCACATTTATTGATGAAAACTGCTGAGCTCTCCAAGATCTGGCGAGATCAGATGTATTTCGAGGAATTGTATTGCTGACAATTTATCAAGGGTGACGTGCAACGCTAAGCCATGAACGCATAATTAAACATGAATATATTCGAGTCTTTTTTAACAATAATTTTACACTGCAGCGGAAATCCCGCGGCTCGAACCCCTAGGGCTTTTTGAGTTTAGTTTGTCTGATCCCCGCACCACCGATTAGCACGGTAGGCTACGTACGGTGCGAAAGAGGTTCAACGTACATACATTCACGCGTGCAAGAAGAACCCCCCGCTGAACGTTAGCCAGTGAGACACAACAACACGAGACATTGTTTGGACATTGCCACAGCTGCAGCGATGTGGGTGGGGGGGGGTCCGGTCATCGCTCTCCGTGCATCACCAACCCACCCAGACGACTCTCCTCGCGGCGTCTGCAAATGCGTCTCGCGCGTAAACGAAGCGCACGGACGTCCTTTAACCACCCACCCGAGAAGTGCCCACGTTCAACAGGCCGATAGCCGATCGCCTCCCTACCGTTTAATAGTTCCAGCGTGTTTCGATGGAGATGGCATGGAGAAGGCACGGCTGCTCGCCTTGACGGGGGGGGGAGAGGCGAGTGACTCGCACACGAGGCCATCTTGCGTAGGGATGTGTAACGGGGTTGGTTTGCTAAGCGACGTGACGTCATCGCAGTGGGTCGGTAGCGGGGGGGGGGGGCACCCTTCCCCTCCCCTGTAACGGAGGGGTATCCCCACGTAAGATGGCCGACGAAACTTTCCACCTTTGTGCAGGTCACCGCCAAAAAAGCTCCGAGGAAGGAGCCGCTTTCCGAAACGTCGCCTGTTATATAGTTTCACTTCGGAGGCCACGCTCTTTGACGACGACGACAACGAACGAACGTGCCTGAGTGTCCTTTTTGTCACCGAAAAATAATTCGTCCAACGGAAATGACGTTTCTCCCCCACACACCCCCACCCCCCTACGCAACTGAGCTATGCTCAAATATGGTGTTGCCATCCAAAACAGACGCGTCACGGCTGCGCGAGGTCAACCAACGGAAGCGACGTCACGACCCATCGGGTTAACATCCGGGTACGGCGGTCGTGGTGGGGGGGGGGTTGCTCAAGATGGCGGCGGCGTTGTGCACTCCCGACATTTGTAGGAGCTGGGATAAAGGCGGGCGGTCCGACTTGTGAGTTTCCTTTTAAATCGGCAATCGCAACAGTTTGAGGGCGGCGAGCCTCGCCACCCCCCCCCCGTACGTGGAGAATGTTTTTTTTTGGGGGGGGGGGGACCCGCGCATTCCGAGTGTATAAAAGGAGGCTGGCGAATGGCGGGGTGGTGTGCGCCTTAGGCGAGCGAGAGGCTGAGGCGTGGCCAAGGCCTCGGCATTAATGACAATAACGATGAAGAATTCGTGTTGTTAAAATAGTTTATTCATGCGCAAAGCGAGGGGCGCTATAAACAGTTTATGTAAAATGTATCAATGTAGGAAACGGATAACATTGAAAAGTTACCAAACGGTTTCAAGTTTGTGGACGATTGAAAATGTTAAAACTGACATTTAAAACAAAAAGTGGAAGGTAGTTTGCATTAAAAACAAAAGCAGTTGTGACACAAACATGTAACGTAAAAATAGAAAAAAAGTTTTGTAAACGTTTCATAGTCCCATGAAATTAATAATGAAAACAGAGGGGAATTGAAAGTGCACTGACTTTACACGTACAGCTACTAAAATCATTGTTACATTTTATAAAACTAAGCACATGCTTGTGGAATGTGTCAGGCTTGCACTAAATGACTAAGTTATCGCTCCTGGTTGGGAAAAATGAACGCAGCGCAGAATCGAAAGAAGATTCCTGCATGAAGTGGAGAAGACATTACCACCGCCAGCATTTTACCCTGAACTCGTACTCGAGCGCTTATTACACAGCCCTCGATGTGTTGACACGTAGCAGATGTGTAATGCCCCCTTGTCGACAATTAAACGTTGTACCTGAAACATAGTAAAACAATTTAGTGAGGCGGGTTTTAATAAACCCGTGAAACTAGGCGGAAACGATTTATTTCGAAACGGTTAACTTTTTTTGCAAAAAATAGTTGCAAGGAATTAAATTAAGGTATCGTGCAACGGTGCGACTCGTATCCAGTGGCGTGGAAGCTGTGGTATGCGTTATACAGTCGTTATTGACGGTGCATTATTGAAATACGAGTAATATATAAGGACAATGTCACTTAAGGCAAACGATACCCATTACTAGATGTTTTCAACCAGTAATTCCGTAAGGCAGTGGTAATCACAACGGGGGTCAACTATTGTCCCCGGTTAGTGGTTTGAAAGGGCACTTCCGGATGCATTGACACTATACTGTGTTGCTGCAAATGCAACCTTCCCGTTTGATCAATGGAGTGCTTTTTCACTTACGTTGCAGCTTGAAGCTGTGCCGGAACCTCTCGGAAGATGGGAACGCAAGCGACACATCTGTCAAAGGTGCTCAATCTTTCATATTTTTTTCTATTCCAATATGATTGGGTCCAACTCTGGCGTGGCATTTTCTTGAGGATATGGACAGGTTCAAGGCACGTGAACCCATTACGGACTTTCATTTATCGGCCTCGTGCGTAATAACTGTAGTCTGTGACCCGAATGTCCCTTAAATATATGTTCCGTGTTTGTTACGTGAGGAGGTGCCTCTTATGCGAAGTGTACTTTTGCACGCAGTGTCGTCTGAAGCAGTAATTTGACGCTGGGTCTTTGGTTCACAACCTTCACAAAGGATTTTATCAATGAAAACATGAAAGATACAAACATAACTGTTTCAGAGAGATATGTGCCCAGCTGTCGTTTGAGTAAAGAGTAGCTAGTGGAACCCCTTGTGAGCCTTCTGCAATCTATGATGGGTCACAGACCGATATTCTCTCAATATAGTTTGTATAATTACAGTAATTGTATTTCGGACAAAGCCTTATCTTCTCTTGACTGAATTACTTGAGCGTAATTTTTTTCTTGATATTTCACAGACATCCGCCGTGCCCTATACGAGCTGGTCTCTAACGTCATTAAAAGTACTTTAAAACTGGACCATGCCATGGGAGTACTCAGTGAGGTGCTGGTAAGTTACTTTTTATGCGTTATTGTGACCTGCAGTATCATACCACCCACACAGCATGTACATTTTTTAGAAGTTTTAAAATAAATAACGTATATTATGCATTTCCATTCTGATTTTGTGTGTTATACTTTTACACCAACAGGACTTGAGGAATGACTTGCCATCCGTACTTGCGGATGTGTTCTGCATTCTTGGTATGTTGACCCATTCTTTTACAGATTCTGCACTGATTTTTTTTTTCTACATGACAACTCATGTCTGCAGTTGTTTGAATTTTGGGAAATATTATTCTCTCTTTGACGTCCAACAGATATTGAGACGAGCTGCCTTGAGGAGAAGGCTCAGCGTGAGCGATTTGTACAACTCGTCCAGGCATGCACTGTGAGTGCCCAGCAGCAACACATGACCAAACATGCACACAAGCTTCTTCCCACGTAGCAACGTGACATTGAACCTTCTTACTCGTAGCTCTGTGATAGCCACTTCCATGGGCCGTCCTCTAAAACAAATTGTTACTCTGCTCAAGCAGTCGCCTATGACAGAAGAGGTTCAACATACATGATGAGAATAGCATAACCAGGATACAATTTTGAAAAATATTTTTAAAAGAAAGAGCATACGCTGTTGTGAAGTGACGTTGGTTTTGCTTCAGACCACCTGCAGTACAAACATTGATATTAAACGTACGATACTTAAGCTGTGACATTCCAATGTGCCCTGTTCAATATTGTTTGTGGTATAGTCCATAGATTACTGGCTACTGCCTCCTTTGCTGCTGCTTGCAATACGTTGTCTAGATGGCCACCTGGATTTGATAAAGATCAGCTATTAACTGTTAATACATTTTTTAATTAGGCACTTGTGTATACTTAGGCACACATACAGATTTGTTTTAAGGAATTTTATATTCAGCTGAAATTGCAGTTTTTAAAATAGATTCATAGAACAGCTCCCAGTTAAAGGTTTTGTCATTGTGCTATTCATAACACATTCCTTTTTTTAGATACATCTTCATTGTTGTTTACACTTATGTTGTGTCTCTCAGCCTCTGGTATCCGAGGTGGTGTTGAAAGAGCGCCTGGACCCAGAGACACTGGAGACTTTGGGTCTAATCAAACAGGCCTCCCAGTTCAACCAAAAATCTGTGAAGATCAAAACCAAACTCTTGTAAGTCCCCCACCATCTGAGCTGCACTACAACTTCACTTTATAACTTCATTGTGGCCTGGCCCCATTTCAAAAGTTATGTGATGTATAATCCGGTGCATGATGCAAACTAGCACGTTAATTTCCCCATTAGAGCGGTTATGACAGTCATATGTCCCTAAATATAGTGCAATATTTGCTGCGATTCAACAAATATACGTGCGTTTTTTTTTACACACTTGATCTTCCATTCTGACACTTCAGTGATGCCGTCATGCTGACATTACTCTTCAAGGACATGGCAGTCCTTTTGACGTAGCTGCTTTGAAACATAAAGGCACTTGGGTTGTAAGCTTGCTTTTCTCGCTCGCTTACAGTTACAAGCAACAGAAGTTCAACCTCCTGCGAGAAGAGAATGAGGGATATGGGAAACTGTTCACTGAGCTGTGTCAGGACTTGTCTGGGATCATCACGAGTGACATTATGCTGGAGAGCATCAAGTCCCTTATTGGTGAGACCTTTATAATTGGTATCTGCTTGATAGCTGTGTATATTTTAATAATCTGTGTAACCCTAAGCGTGTTTTTATAAAGCTTGTTTTTTCATGTCAAAATTTACCCCAGAATTCTATTCATTCTCATGGTTTGGGCTAAATTCTGTTTGGGGTTTTTTGTCTTTTAATATCTAGATTGTATAGTCTGTATTGTTTGTACTATCCCATCTGCCTTTTTATGCTTATATGCTTCTATGTATTTATAATGAGCGTCGGAGTCCATTTTTACTAAATAGTCTTTATATCAAACATAGTGCCGTAATACAATTTCATTTCAAAATCTATTCAGGCCTTCTTAACATGGGTTTGTCGACTGTATCAACTGCGTCTTGGCGGTGACATTCCAGGCTGCTTTAACCTGGACCCCAATCGCGTGCTGGATCTTGTACTTGAGGCATTCGAATGCCGGCCTGAGTACGCGCAAGAATTTTATCTTCCCCTGCTGGAGTCATACATGAACACGTGCGAGCCACAGACACTCTGCCACGTCCTTGGGTTCAAGTTCCACTTTTACCAGGTTGGTGTAAAGGCCTCAGTTCTCTTAATTACTCACCAACTCAACTGTAACTTGCATGATTTATTCTGTTATTTGTAATTGTTGTCAATGCTTGGCTGTTGGCAGACGTTTTGTGCCGATGCCAGGGTTTAAAGTTTGGTTGTGGAATGAGCACAGTTTTCTGACTAGACATTCCTGGCCTTATTTTCTAACAGCAGTGGCAAGTGACATTGGAACCAGTCTTGACCTCCCCCCCCCGACCCATTATTCACAGAGCAGCATGGTGAAGTATGGTCATGCAACCCCTATGACTAACAGCATGGGGAGACCGTCATAACTTATATTTACTTGTTTTTAAAAAAGGCTTTGTGTTTTTGTTTTCTCATTAGGAACCAAATGGAGAGACGCCACAGTCTCTGTACCGTGTGGCAGCCCTGCTGCTGCAGAGTGAGCTGATCGACTTGGATGACCTCTATGTGCACGTAAGTGCCTGCTAACATTCACCCGCTTCTGCTCTATGCCCCATCCTTTATAGCCCTGTGCTCACGGTTAATTTTGCTTCTCGCTCCAAAACTTTTTCACGCAGCTCCTGCCCGTGGACA